GACGGGGATGGATAAAGAATTGGTTGGTAGGTGTTCTAGATGGCATATCTACTTCTATGATTGTTGAATCCGTTTAAACTAACAAGCGATTGAAATAGTTCGACACATGCGCGCTGCCACTCCAGTTGGTCCCTTCCGCGAAGTTGGCGAGGAGCAGTACGCCCACACACCCTTCTCGGAAATCTATCTTGTGCCACAAATGCGGGCAGTCTACACCTCCATGTGTGTTCAAAAGTCATACCACTTAGCAAACGATGAATTTAGAGCTAAAGTACTTTTTGCAGGATGCACGATTTCGTCCCCGGTATGATGCGGAACTGCGAATTCCTCCGTCAAAAGAACTGGAAGAACGAGATAACTCTTCGCAACAACCCTTATTCATTGGTTCACAACTGCGAAGGCAAGACCGCGTTTGAGCATCTGTACGAAAATCCTAGCAACTTCCGCCGCTTCAACGAATCCATGAAGGCCGCGGACTCAATGCTAGTCACAACGGGCCTGTATCCATTTACTCAGGAACTAGGTCCCCTGGCAAGCGATGATACGGTCACTTTGGTTGACATCGGGGGTGGTCGGGGCCATGTCATTCGGCAAATCAAGGAGACCGAGCCCGATCTCAAGGGCCGGTTTATTCTTCAAGACCAGGCGAGTGTAATAGAGGATAACGGTGACGAAATCCAGAAGTACGGGATCGAGGCTATGGGACATGACTTTTTCAAACCACAGCCGGTCAAGGGTACGTATATACGTGTCTAATCCACTCCGAAATGCTTGAAGAAATTGAAACTGATTGATCTATACTATGTTAGGAGCTTTGGCATACTATATTCGACGCTGTCTCCACAACTGGCCCAACGACGAAAGTCAGAAGATCTTATCTAACTTGGCGGAAGCCATGGATAGGGAGACGTCTCGCGTGCTGATCACTGAGCATATTGTGCCTGATGTGGGTGGATCGATGTTCCATGCCTGGATGGATCAGACGATGATGACTTTTGGTGGCCTCGAACGGTCGACGAAGGATTGGGCTCATCTTTTGGACATCTCGGGCTTGGAGTTGGTTAAGGTGTGGCGTGCTCCTGGAGTACCTGTCGGGGTTGTGGAGGCTAGATTGAAGTGATTTCAATTATAGAACAGATTTAGACACCCGCAAGAAGCTAGATTATAGAGATAAGTTTGACTATTCGAGGATGCTGTTCGATCGGTGTAGTCTACCTGCAAGGGGTGGGGGCAGGGAAGCGGACCGGAGGATACCACAGACTTGTTAACTGCTGGAATAGGTCCTTGACTGTCTAACGGCCATGATCCCTGCTTGTTAATCCCAGTAAAGGACAAGCGTGGGAGATACGGGTTAAAATGCCAGTCGGGGAGCGAGACGGACCCCCGAGGGACGCCCACGTGAGATTCACCCTCGTGGGTAGCCCGCTGTTCTGAAAATATTTTAAAAGGAGTCCCAATCATCCATAAGTATAATAAAAATGTAGTAGTTTTGATTCCAATACCTATTCAAGATGAGATGACAAGGAAGAAGACTAGACAATTAAACCTGCATTGCCAGAAGATAGAATACATATAATAGCATATGCCAAGTCGGAGTTCAGGGAGTCTAATTTCTATTCATATCTCTTTCTTTCAATGCCTCTAACCTAGTAGAATAGAAAATTTTAGAGATTTTTCGTATACAGATCTCTTACAATCTGTTATGCTTATACACAAAAGCTGATATAAACATATTAAGAAAAAGAAACCGGGCTGTTTTATAAAAGATAAAACAATAACTTTTATGTAAAATCAACCTGAAGACGTATTGCGTGTTTATTTTCATTTTTGGGAAATACTAGCAACTGTTAGGAGAGTGTCTTTGGTAGTCTTTCTGACTGTCAGTTGACACAGCAAAAGTGCCCTAGCTGCGCTATATCTTAGTACAGCGATCTATCCAACTATGTTAGAATGAGTATGAGAGCTGACTTATATTAGCAAAGCATTATATTTCGCAATTAGAATTTCTGTGGCAAGATTATGAAACTCCTCGGAGAATATTTCGACTCTGTAAATGTGCTGCTTATCAGGAGCGACTAATCCTTGGCTTTGGGGCCGTTTTACTTTTCAAGTCTCACCTGCACGGAAATGATTATCCGGTAAGATGTATGTGGTGGTACTGACGTAGATACGTCCAAAGCTCATAATTTAGAAATATTGGTACTAGTATCTATTCATAGTATTTGTACAGTGATTTGTTGTTATCCCCCAGTAAGCCAAAGCCCATAGAAACATCCAACATGCATCTCCATACTCATCAGTACAGAACGACCCCTCCTCACTACCCAACAGACTTCACCACCCTCATGAGCTAGAAGTAGCGGTGGCCTCACACGCGTATGTGGAAACGAGAGTAGACGTGATCGCATAAGTGGTAGTCGCAGGGGTAGGGTTCACGACCTGAAACCAATTCGCCGCTACGGGAGTACCCAAGCCCGTTACTTCCTCGAACTCATCAAGATTGAACCCAAGACGGGCCGCGTCTGTTGCAGGCAGCAAGCTCTCAAGACAGACAGGCAGGGAGTAATCCTCTGGCTGGCTGTACAGCAGCAGGATGTAATCGTGGGCAGGCCCTTCCAGCGGTGTCGGGTAGACGTACTCCGCGTTTGGGGCGCTCGTGTTGCTAATTTCCAAGACACCAGATGAGTAGGCGAGGTATGGCTGGTACCAGTGTAGGGCGGCCGTTGAGACGCCATCCTCATTGATGGTTGGGTCGATCATGATGATGACGTACTCGTCCTTGGTGGAGGTGGTGTCCTCTAGGTAGAGGGTAGGAGTATTGATGGTCCCTGTGGAAGCGTTGTGAGTATGTAATATCAATAGTGCTTATGTGCGTCAGGAATGGATGAAGCTTACAGTTTTGGTTGACCAAGGCTCCAGAAGTCAGAGTTAGGTGGCCCCCATCTTCGGTGAAGACCACGCCAACGTCCGCATCGACAGACGGGGTAAAGCTGGAGGGAGTCGCCGCTGCCGCGAGGCCGACAGCAAGAAAAGAAGTGAAGATTTGGAGAAAATGCATTTTTATAGTGCCAATTCTTTCTGTAGAGGAGTGTGGTTATGATTGTGCTGCGAAATTCCCATCCCTTGGCTCCATTTCGATTGTTCTTATAGTCCCTTGCTGGATGCTTGTTTCACTGCCTCAAGTTGATCGGACCGAGTAAACTGAGTTGGCACCAAGGTGCATCCGAGATTCAAGTTAGTACTCACGGAGAAGCATGGCTGATACATCTCGAAATGGTAGATGACAAGACAGTGATCAAAAGCTTGTATAGACGCAGGAGGACCAGGATCTCGTATTCGGCTGCACCGCCTCAAGTCTTCCATGAAGGAACGGCAGTGATAATTCTAGAAAAGGCATGCTTTTCGTGGACTAGTGGCAAAAGTTACCAGCCTATAGTAAGTGAGTAATCAATCTGAGATAATCGAAGCCTAAGAGGCACTGCAAGTTGGATGGTGATGATTGTGTTGGGTGTTGTCGGTGCTGCATATCTGCCATGTGTACCACGTGGACGCATTCCTTCCGAGCCCCAGTGGGCCTTGATCGTATGGAACGCAATGCGTAATTCGATATTGATCCTGCAAGATCCTTTTGGGCGCGATGACGCTAGCGCTTACTCTATAATAATTATGGCTCCTTTAATGAACTCTGATCCCCTTCCCTCCGGAGCAGAGCACTCAATAGTCTCCATTTGTCAGAACAGGTCTATTCGTCCCCCCAAAAATTAGGGGATAACTTCACCAAGCTACATCATTGCTATCCCTAGAGGGTGTAGTGAGTCACAAGATAGTGCGTGTACGTGACTTTGATATTCTTACAATAGGCAATCCCTGCTTCACTCCCACAAGCACAAGGACAAGGGTAATGCAGCCACGACGACCAAGATACTAAACAAAGCAAGATGCCTCAAGCAGACGTCTATGCTGCGCAAATTTTCAAGTAATGTCCCAGTCAGCATCTAGCGCAAACTTTCGTAAACTAGACTCGGGAAAATCGGGATGGGAAGCTGTGCAACTCTCATGCTCCGAACCCTTTCTTTCGTTCATATTCGCTGTCGCGTAGAGGTCAAAGCCTCCATTGTAGTGTGAGCTGACTTTTCAAAAATCCTGGAGGATGAGTGAGTCAAGGTGAAAAGCCTGGGCACGGGAGGATAGTTTCTCACCTTCCCGGATAATTGCTCTCAAAGTGTGAGACAGAACAGGTTATCCTCAAATAATTGAGCATGGATAGCACCTCTGTGCCAGGGCTCTGAACTCGAGGTCCTTGGGTTTTTGCCTTGTATAACGTTGCTGGTAATGATGGCGACGGTTTTGTGTTACGTAGTACTTCTATAGTGGGGCTTCTCTGTGGCGTCCGTAGGCATACAATCTATAGCATAGATGAAACACCAATCATAGTTTGCAATATTGGCAACATGTTGGCCAACGGTGGTATGACGAGTGCTGTCCGGTTCTGGGGCTCGAGAAAGGCCACTGTCTCATTGTTCCGGTAAGACTGTTAGCTATAGTTTCACAGCGCGTTTATGTCTAGGGCGAGCCATGATCTAGATTGCCTATGAAAAATCGAGGTATCATTCTGTGAAAGTATAACTAGAGAACCCTTGATTTGCTATAATATAGCTAGCTGGTGATACATACTGAAATACCTCTAAACACCGCTAAGCAAATCCAATTAACGCCGAGCGCTCAGCGCATCAGCAGGGCGTAGCATGACCACTGATAGCGAAGGCAGCCTTCACAGTACCATGATGTAAGGGAGTATCAGAGCGCTTCACAGCAGACGCGGCTGCCCCCTAGGATCCCCATCCTAGCGTATATCTCCCGTGCAGCGTTCTGCGAATGCCGTCCCATTCTGTCACCACCAGAGGCGGGCGTTTGCCCAGCACAACGGCACCTATTATCGGTTTAATATATATATTCCTTGTGCTCATCTTTCAGTTCTTTCCCACTGATGAGACAGCCCCTCACGCCTTTCCACCGGACTTCAGAATCTGCTCCAGGTTCTCCCGGCTGTTCTTGTGTGTCATTTCCAGGTAGTGCAGCTTCTTTTCCAAGCCAGCAATATCCGTCTTCAGATCTCCGCTCTCGCTTGACAGGCGCTTGTCGATCGTGTTCATGGGGACAGCCACAAACCTATGAGAATTGTATCCGTTAGTATGGCCGCGAGATCCTTCCGTCTTCATGTCATCCTTAGAAGGGTGATATAGCAGCCACCAGTAGACTCACATCTTGCCAACGCCCTCATATACCCTTGTATCCTTAGGCAAAGAGCCGATTTCCTTGGATGTGAGCTCCAGCATGCGGATGTCTCTCTGCTTAGTTGTGATCTGCGCCTTCGTAACGCCGATTTGTTGTTGGGAGGTGATAGCCTGGACCTCGATTTCTTGCAGAAGCTGTTTGACCGGAACATATTAGTTACGCTTATGAGATAGAGTTGCTAGGACAAGGTACCTTCTGCAGAGCTTCGTTGGGAATCGACATTTTGGGTAAGGAGAGGGGAGTCCCGCTTTGGTATTGAGGGGTAATCTGGGGTCAAGAGAAGTCGCGTTGTTGGGATCAAGAAGGCGCGTATTTAGGTTATCCCAGTGATAATTTCTCTGAGATTGGTAGAGATGTTTCGTGGATCTGGTATGAGAGTAACAGGGAAGGCTGTTCGTTCGTTACCTATCGTCCTGATCAAGCTCGATGATGAACACATCGGCCGCCCGCTATCATTGGCTCCGAGGCCCGGGCGGTAGAGGATACCGGATTCGGATATCAGTCTAGGGCTTAGGGCTTCGTCAAATAACTATTGGTATACAATCCTCATGAAAGAACAAACATATGTGGATTCCTGGCAAATGGTGGCATTTATGAAGAATCAATACATAATTGAGGCTCGCATTTTGTTGTACTCAGCCTGGGTGGTCGGCTTATACTTGGCCGGGTATGCCTCACTCATGCATGACGGAATACATTCAATGGTCACGTCTGGATCAGGAGACATGAAGTACGGAATTGAGTAGCGCTCCCGTGTCATCCGGTTGGGCCCCTCAAATCGATCTGAGAGTTGCGGTAGTCTGACGCGGTGGTTGGTTGACCGAAGGCGATCTATATTATAGATCAGAAATATGACCGATTTCATACCACTACTAATGTTGCGGGGAATGGACAAACCATTGCTCCACATTTGCAATAAGTCCCCAATGTTCATGATGGTGGCATATTTCAATGGAGTAGCGGGGACGAATGTGCCCGGCCGAGAAATGTCCTCTACTTCCAGGCCACCACAGTCATCCTGGAAGAGCATGGTTATGGAACTCCAATCTGTATGTGCCGGGCATCGGGCGGTTCGCTCTTTCTCCAACTCTTCTGCCGGCACGGGCAGATAGTGCAGCAACCGGAGCTGATTGTTGTGGCCTGAATGCTTCTTCGTCAGGTAGATTTCATCCTCCAAGTCAAGGCCGGTAGCCAAAGCACGAAGTATCTCGCTTCCAACCTTATTACACTCCCAATAGAATTGGACCATAAAGTCCTGGTAACCAGGAAGTGTCTCTTTCGGTATCCACTGGTTGGGTTGAAAGGGATTCTCTTCGCTGCCAATATCGTAGATTTCCTGTGCTTAAACGTCATTCCGAATCTCAATATAAGACTCGATGGCAACAATCATGAAGAACATTTCTGTCTAGTAGCTCACTGGGGCGACATAAAACCTAACAAACCTTGACATCTGGCACCTCTCTCAGCTTCTTCCGCGCGTCATCGTCATCTCCGGTGCTCATGACCTGAGAAACCTTTTCTAGACCGGGCCATGAGTAGCCTCGATGTACAGTCCAGCCCTCCGGATGTGGGGCCCGCATCTTGTCTTCGCTTGAGAGCTCGAAAAAGCGTCTCATCCAGTCAAAGGCCTCATCCAGAACCGATCCAGAAAGCGAGTGGTTCACGATGTATACGAACCCGACATCCTGGCAAGCCTTAACCAGTGCATGCGCGACCTGTTGACGAGATGAGACATCTTGGCTGTTGTACCACGGCGAAAAGTCCACGACGGGGATCTGCATCTGGGTAGAGTCCGCAGAACAAGACATATCGAATAACTCGGATTCTGATAGTATCTCGAAGCTCGAAGGATGATTTTTGGCCAGCTAGGACGCCGAAGAAGAAGAAGACCTCACGATAACACATCCAAGGACCTGTTGTGAGAAGGATGGCTAGTGTACTATTGGCTGAACTGGCGCTTAGTTTCCAAATCGCCTGGCCGATCATATGCTTTACGACCGTAGATGGAAAAGAAACTACGGGAACACCACTTTCAAGAGAAAGAACAAATTCGTATAACCAGTAGATATGGTTTCCTGAGTGTATAACGATGATCCAAAACGACTCGAGGTAAGCTTACTATTCACGTGGTGTAGTTAGTTGTCCGAGATGTAAAGTGACATCATCTGGTGAGTAGCAGACCCTGAGATCGGAGCTGGAGCAGTATTTATCCACTCGGTGATAAAGACTATGGAGACCGGCGGAGTGCCGGGTGATTTCCTGGCTCCGGTGCAGATTTCAATCAATGCGGGCCAAAAATAGGTGGACAAGTTCCATCTTTGCACGGGTGGCTGGTTATTGAGGGGCCACAGGCGACGCTCCGTTGCTGTGGCAGGGGATCGCAGTGGACCCGGCGCGGCCTGAACAACCTAAAGATGCAGCATCCATCACCCACACTTTCCGGTATTCAAACCGGCTTGCTCGAGTGAGGCGAACCCGGCAGAAATTACTACAGAAAGAAGAGTTTTTAGCAACACGTAAGTGTGCTTTTATCCGCCCTGGATCATGTTCGTTGAGCTACTGTGTACTTGCAAGCGCTACCCTGATCGACCACTACTGACATCTACTTCTACCGCTTTTAGTAATCTGTTGATCGCCGCTGCAAAGCCGTCGCATAATACTAGCCCTCGACAGATCGTACGATTAAACAGGTCGCAGTCTTCCGCTGCGCCGGTGACGCATTCCGACGTATATTTTCGATATCCTGTCCCATCATATCCGGAGGGCGCGCTGTAGCCCTAAGCCTCGACAATGAAGCTCTTCGGGTGGATCTCGGCCGCATTCCTCGCTTCGACGGTTCTTTCGTTAGAGACAACACCAGCTCCATCGATCGATACTATACCATTCTATTCACCTCGCAATGCGGACTCCGGACGAAGGGCCTTTGAAGTACTGCAATTATTAAGGAAGCGGAGCGATAACTGTCCTTCTGGATATGATTCTTGCACAAACCTAGGCTACTCGGACATATGCTGTGCCGATGGTAGCAGGTGCACTCGCGACGCCGCTGACAATGTCGCTTGCTGCCCGACGGGAGCGAGCTGTACGGGGACGCTCTCAGAGACTGGAAATTCTGGGGGGGGTACAACCAGCAGCTTCCGATTTCCCCAGACAGCGACGGCTACACAGACTACAGATGGGACGAGTGTGACTCTCACGGGCTCTACAATTGCCGGGGCATATCCATTTGTCAATATCCCGACATCATTCGCCAACGCGCGCGTTTGCACATCATACTACTCTCTATGTCAGAGCGAGTATACCGGCTGTCTTTCGCAACTCGGAGGAGGGTATGCTGTGACTGTGGCTGCTGAAGGAGGAGGTGTCACTCGCGCTGGAGGAGGCGCTTCTGCAGCTATATCGACATGCTCTAGTCTGAGTATGGAGGCATGCCACGGTCTCAGCATTGGTTACTGCGGCAGTTACAGCACTGATGTCTACGAGAACCGGGGAACGATGCCCAGACCGAGTTCCAGTCTTGAGGACCTTTTCTTTGGCATGTTCATTGGACTTGCCGGAATGTTTCTATGAAGTTACGACTACGCTTGATTTTCATGTGGATATGCATGTACGAGATATGGACATACGCTCGCTCAAGTGACGTGAACAATATATTTTTTTTTCCAAGTCAATATTGACAATCGCGACACTCGCGAGACAACTACCTCGGTTGAGAACGCTCATCCTTTGGGTAGATGAAAGAGACGACGGGATGTATCTATGAAGTGACTGATGAAGGGCAATAGTTGGGCAGCTATCGGCATAATGAGTTTCATGACTTTGTGGCGTTTTGTATATGACAAGAGCATCTAGGATAGCAATGACATCTAAGAAAAAAAATGAATGATCAGATTATGATTTCTTTAGTATTATGGGAACTTGTACTGTGAGCTTGTTGCTCCCACAATAGACAAGGGAGATCCAGCTGCATCCATGGCGCCTCACTACCACATCATTATTAGGGCTCACCAGATAGCAAAGAATTCAGGATGTGATTGTCGGGTCACGGACAATGCGCACTTCTAGAGCAACTAAGTACTTACGGATATTGAGTCACCCGCGCCAAATCACTGCCTAAGCATGGGGCCCCTTCGTTGGGTGACACGTAGGTGTAGTCACTAGTCACTACACGGTCCTCGCCTGATTTGTGCCGACGGATGGAGGCCCATGCAGTCAGTACCTGACGGACGTGCCTCCATCGAATCAGAAACAGCGTTTGCTAGACCGACTCACCGTGGAAGAGTAAAAGATAATCTAGCGGTGGAGCCGACAACGCAGTAGGCCGGGTCTGTCCAAGTTCCGGACTTTTCGCCCACAGACACGATTGGGTGCTGACAATGACGCTGTCAGGAACTGAGGGGAGAGAAGTTGGTGATGAGAGGGGCAGCAACGGCATCATCGGCCACTTCTCTGCCATTGGATCACAGCGGGGCAACAACATGCAGAGTTGAGAAAAGTGGACATCCCAGCCTCCGAAATTTCCTTTTTTAAATTATGAGCTAAGTTTATCTTCATCGCTGATTCACTCGGCCTGGCAGTGATTGGTGGTGGTCGTCACAGGAAATGCGGTGGTTGGGAAGTCGACCGGACGGAGGCTGGGATCAAAGAAGGGCGGACGGGCTACTCGTGGGATGGCACCCTGTTCCGACTTCTCTTCTCAAACCCTCCATACATTTTCTCCTCAACTGATATGCATTCTTTCGATCTCTGCTCTGCAAGCTACCTGTGACGGTCTCTCGCATTCCATCTATTTGCTTGGCTTCCTTTCGTTCGCTGTCTCTCGTTCTATACCTCCCTTGTCATACCAAGACCCTACATCGAGTCATACGTCGGAACTTCCCAAATTTTGTCCCTGGCAGCGATCGCAATCCAAAGCTGCTTTTGGTCGCATCGTGGGCTGGCCTCGTGGTTGTGGAAATTCCTACATTCTCCCCTCGCCATGCATGCGTCTCGCATAATCCCGTCGACCTTATCTATACTGGCCCTACTGAGTCAGTTTCAACTCTCGATAGCTTCACCATTGGAACCCGAGGTGAGTCTCGAGGAGGCCACCTTGGAGAAACGCTGTTCGAATCCTTGCGGTTATTATAGCCAGCTTTGCTGCAGCTCAAGCGAAACATGCAGCACCAACAGTGATGGCGAAGCTGAGTGCGTCGGTTCCGGAAGCTGGGAGTATTACACCACCACGTATGTCGTGACCGAAACAGAGCGTGCGACTTTTACTTCAACCTGGAGCTCCTACATTTCGGCAACAACGAGCACTGGCAGTTGCAATGCCGAGTATGGTGAAACGGTCTGCGGCAGTGACTGTTGCGGCCCTGCATATGTCTGCTCCAACAATCAATGTATCCTGGGAAGCACGTCAATCTGGGCAACCGCGACTGCCACACCCCCCGTACGTGGAACAACGCTATCGACTGTAACTCAAACGGCCACTACTACTGAGCCTTTCACTGCCCCTGTGAGCACAAGCGGCACGCCATTGGTTGTGAAGGGCTCCGGCGGAGGACTCAGCGGCGGAGCCATCGCGGGCATTGTTATCGGAACAATTGCCGGCGTGTTCCTTCTGTTACTCCTTTGCGCCTGTATGTGCTGCCGTGGAGCACTTGATTCTGTGCTTGCTTGCCTTGGTCTCGGTGGTGGTAGGAAGCGGAAAGAAACCACTTACGTTGAAGAACGTCGTCGTCGTCGTCACCATTCTTCTTCCGGGGCTAGACCTGAGCAACGCACCTGGTTCGGCAGTCGACCGGCACCATCAACAGCAGGTGGCGGTAAGAAGAAAGAGTCTGGCATGGGTGCTTTGGCGACCATTGGAATCGTCCTAGGTGCGATCGCGCTGTGCCTTGGGTTGAAGAGGCGCAGAGACCATCGTGACGTGGATGAGAAGAGCGATTACACGTATCCGAGCACCTACTACAGTTACTACTCCTCTGACTACTATACCAACGATGGTAAGCAACGTCTTGTTCTCATTCAATGATAGCATGATGCTAATAACATTGCAGGAAGCGTTGTGACAGATGATCGGCGGACGAGAGACACCAGAAGAACTAGACGATCTCGCACGCGTTCACGAAGATGATGATTTTATGATTCCGACCAACGAAAAAGGATGACTTACTGAGAAACAACGATTTTTTAGCTATGATTTGAGTCTTCGGACTTTATTTGATCGATTTGCATGGACAGGCGTTACCCAGGGTTTATGATTGATGTGTGATGGTTTCTTCTTTCGTGTCCGAAAGATCTGCAATGTACGATGATGAGACATGTATTCATGTTCTAATGCCCTTGAATGTTTCTGCTTTATCCCTTTTCTTCGTCACCTTGTCTTTGTCCTCCGTCCCTGCTTCCGTTTCTTCGAACTTATTGAAAGCCGCGGAAGGAAACTGTGTTGTAAATAAGATGCTCAAATAAATTGACAACAGCATTGTACATATGAAGGACATCAGTTGCCTGTACCGACATCGTACATAATCTATCAGGAAGTTAGTAGTAGAGAGCATCCCTGACCAGCAACAGTGAGAGCTCACACAGCCAGAGTTGCGAGTCACCCTCCGGCACGCTCCTTTAAAGCGGCGCAGGGATAGTTACAGGTATATGAAGGATCTGAGCAAAGATCGCAGCTCCCAGAGATCCAGTGTCAGTGCACCCCTAGATATGTACAAAGCTGATTCTTGATAATCATGCACCTGCCGGAGCAACTCGTGCGTTTATCCAATAACTGCAGCTGCAAGGCGGCCATCAACGGTCAGCATGCCAACCCAAGACAGAGACGGAGGAAATTGTCATCATAGAACGATTAGACTTCACCGAGCTGGTAAGAAGGGCGAATTGAAGGGATAAGAAATTTGAATAGATTCGTGTTACCGATCCACGCGATCAAGTTGTGTTGTTCCAATCGAAGTGGTTCGAGTCCGACAGGGTCCAGAGAGTGAATGAAGCTCGGCACCTCGTCGACGGCACAAACTGCCCGGGCGGAACCTGCGACTCCCCGCCTCCCGTAGTCCCAAGCCATTCCATCCATCATTTCACGCTCGCCTGTCCTTCAATCCCGCTGTCATTCCCACGCCATCTTCACAACACCCCCTCCCCTCACCCACAACTCTCAACTCTTGTATTCGAAAACCCTTATCCATGAGGCTACTCTCGAGTATACGGTCCTGACAATACCTACTCAGCATCTTAGTTCATTTTGCCCCCGTCCGGCTTTTCCCCGATCATCCAGGGCTGTCAAGTCTTCCCTCCTGAGGATTACGAGTCCCGTTGAGCTCCGATTCTTCGCTGGCCCGCCATGCTTCAAACGCAGACTCAGCACGTCTTTTCTCATCAGCACCAGTATCCGCAGGCTGATCCGACCTGGTTGCAACAACAACAGCAGCATCACCAAACCCACCCGCACCAGGCTCAGCAACCGCATTCTTCGTTGGTCGCCCAACAGCATGCCCAAGTCCAGGCGGCCGCAGCCGCAGCCGCAGCCGCTCAACAACAACACTATACTCGTATAGCCATGGCTGGAAACGCCGGTGCCGGTAATTCCGCTCAAGGGGCTGGTGCAGGAAGCATTGGTGGGGACGGTGCGTTGCCCGGTGCGGTGTCCGTGATGGATGGTGGCATCAGTGATGAGAATCGGAAAGTTTTCATCTGGGTCGCAGAGCTTCTCGATCCGAGTCGCAGAGAAGCCGCCCTTATGGAACTTAGCAAGAAGAGAGAGCAAGTGCCGGAACTCGCGCTGGTTATTTGGCACTCTTTCGGTACGGAATCACCCCCTTTGATCAGCTTTGTTGGTGGCGACTAACGGGCAGTTTTCCAGGTGTCATGACCGCTCTACTTCAAGAAATCATCTCCGTATACCCTTTGTTGAACCCTTCGCAATTAACTGCGGCTGCATCAAACCGGGTCTGCAATGCGCTGGCTCTCTTGCAGTGTGTGGCTTCCCACAACGAGACTCGCACCTTGTTTCTTAATGGTACGCAGCCGTCACCCAGGACCATCCACCCCACCCTTCGGTTTTAAGTCGTATGTGACTTGACTAACAAATTCTCGTTCGGAACAGCTCACATTCCTCTGTTCCTCTATCCTTTCCTTAACACAACCTCAAAGTCGCGGCCCTTTGAGTATCTCCGCCTCACCTCGCTCGGCGTAATCGGAGCGTTGGTTAAGAATGACTCATCCGATGTCATCAACTTCCTCCTCACCACAGAGATCATTCCCCTTTGCTTGCGGATTATGGAGACCGGCTCAGAACTGAGCAAAACTGTCGCAATTTTCATTGTGCAGAAGATTCTCCTCGACGACATTGGTCTGGCGTACATCTGCGCAACCTATGAGAGGTTTTATGCGGTTGGAACTGTTTTGAGTAATATGGTCACTCAACTTGTCGAGCAACAGACAGTACGACTTCTCAAGCATGTAGTGCGCTGCTTCCTTCGGTGAGTCTATCGCAGATTTCTTTAGATTGTGTTGGTTGATTCGTTTCTACTTCAAATGCTGACTTTTGTAGCCTGAGTGATAACAGCAGGGCGCGAGAGGCGCTGCGTCAATGCCTTCCGGAACCCTTGCGCGATGCGACGTTCTCCTCCGTACTCCGCGACGACGCCGCCACTAAGCGCTGCCTGGCTCAGCTTCTCATCAACCTCTCGGATAATGTCTCCGATGGCGCACCTGGTGTTGCGATGTAAAAAGTTCAAAAGCATTTGTTTTCCTTTTGGTTTACTTGATATACTTGACAACCTTACGATATGCATGGGGCGGGCTTAGGCGAAACACGGAATACAAGGCGCAAACTGTGTGGTATGGCAATGCAATGACGCGATCTCAGGAAAGTTGCACAAAATCAACAGAGAGAAAAGAGAAGACATGGCGGGTATGGGAGCACTGGACTTGGGGGTTTCTGTCTTGTTATGGTTCGAACGGTTCTGTTGTTTTGCTAATCATCTATTTTTTTTCTTCCCTTCCCTGGCTTTTGCTGCGGCTTTTTCTCTGCTTTCTATTTACCCTTTCCTTTCTGTTTTTTGTTTGTCCAACACTTCGTTCCCCTTCGGCCATAATGGTAAGGCTGTGCGGTGGCGTGGATACGGCTGGCGCTATTTGTCTGTGTGCATTTTGCTTATCCTCTATGTTCCCCATTCCCCATCCTCCATCTGAGTGAGATAGACCCTCTTTGAGCGAGATACCAAGATCTAGTTTTATGTTTCGTTGGGTGGTGCTGATTCTGCCTGTTGCTTAAGTTTCACTTTCTCCTGACCTGGTTTCATGCGGCGGCGAACTATTATTACGACAAAACCTTCCCTTCTAGTATTTATTAATATGAGTTTGTATCTTTCATCTAAAATAGAATAATAGAATCCACGAGGCCATGGTAAAATGTGAGCAGTCCGATCGCATCGACAGCGCAAGGCTTATCGGCACGGGATCGACCCAATCGGCGGATGGAAGTCACCTGACTGGGGTCTCGACGCGCCGCCCGGCGATTCTGTGAGCTCATCTCTTCTGCCCAGCCCGACACGCCCGCCCTGGCGAACGATTTCCTGTCTTCACGCCGCTGTCGATCACGTCGATACCCACTCAATCCACCATTTGGTAGAGACGTCTGTGTCCATTCTTCTGTTGCATATACGTTGCGATAATTACCCCTTCTCAGAACTCCCGCCCCCGCCGCAGATCCGCCGCAGGGGTCGAATCTTGTCCTGCGCCGCGGCGCCTTTAATGGTCTATATCCGCCTTCATGGTATCGCGAAAGCGCACCCGCTCCGAGGTGGACGCTGCCCCAGAGCAGCCACCTGAGGAGCCGGGTTTACTCCAGCAGCTTCGGAACTGCTGGGAGTTTGCAAGCTTAATGCAGTACATTGCCATTTTCGGTAAAGTCATGAAGATTGACGAGGATTTCGGGATTGAGGTGAGTAGTGCAAATCCAACACCTATAGTTTTTCTTTACCTTTGGGCGCGATAGATCAATGCTAATATTCTATTCTGATGTTCTGCTTGTAGGACCTGGAAACTGAATGTCTAAAGCCTACCCCTTCCGAGAAACTACTAGAGATTGGACTCTGTCTTTTGAAATGGGTGTCGTCGCATCGGGGTCTCACGTACGTGCTCCCTTGCTCTCGCCACAACTGTAGCTATGCTAATTGGGCGCTTTGGCTTATAGATTCGATAACTTCGATGAGTATACGCGACGTCAGTACAATGCGAAAGCACCACACATTCCTAACCCTTTCGGGTATGAGGAGGTTCCGAATCGGTTCTTGGACTTCGATGTTTTCTTGAAATTGCGCGTCTTGCACCAGCTGTCGATTTGGACCTTTTGGAATCCCGATCGCATCCGCGAAAAGATGCCGGAGCAGAGGGAATTGGATCAGACGGAGTGGGTGGGTTTTGCGTGACACTACCCCTGGATTCCTTTCATCCTTACTGACCTTTGCTAGCGTATCGAAGAAGTAGGCTACGATCGTGAAGGCCGTTACTACTATATCCTCGATGATAACAGGCTCTATCGCCGCACCGACCCCCCTATTCCGCCGCCAAAACCGGCCAAGTCGAAGTCGAGGAGAAAGAGCGCCCGCGCCATGAGAGCCTCTAAACGAAGACGTGTTACAGGCGCCGATCCTATTGAAGAGTCCGATGAGGAAGATAATGCTGTGAACGGCGACGCCTCAGAGGATCCTCTGCAAGCGATGACGTGGGAATGCATTGCCGTTACTCTAGACGATTACAAGCAGTTCCTCGAGTCCATAAGGAAGACAAGGGATCCCAATGAGAAAATACTGAGGGATAGGATCGATGAACAGGTCATGCCCATCATTGAGAAGGAGGAAGAGGCTCAGGAGAGACAGAAACAGAAGCGCGAGAAGGAGCTTTTCAACATGCAGTTGCTCGCTGGCGCTAAACGATCCAGTCGGATCGCCGGAAAGGCTGAGAAAGAGCGACAGGAGCGTGAGGCTGCTGAAGCAGCACGTAAACGAGAGACGGAACTAGCCGCAGCCCGCAAAGAGGAAGAAAGAGTGAAGAAGCTGGAGGCGGAAAGACGCTCGCGCATCATGACCCGGGAACAGCGTACTAAAGATCGGGAGAGGAAGCGGATACTACATGAAAGTGAGCTCCAACGCATCAAAGAAGAGCAGGAGAAAGTTGCACGCGGCGAGAGCAGAGCTTCCGAGAGACATCTTCAAGCGGAAATGGAAAAGTACCGCAAGAATCTGGAGGACCTCTCACAGGAAGATCAATGGATATTCGACTGCTCGGGCTGTGGTGTTCATGGTCAAAATCTGGTAGGTCATGATCATCCCCGGCTATTTTGGCAAGTGTACTGACCCTCAATAGGATGATGGCTCTCACAGTGTTGCATGCGAGTCCTGTAACGTGTGGCAGCACAGCAAGTGTCTCGGTATCCCGAAAAGCGAAGCTGAACGAGAGGATTTCCACTTCGTTTGCAAGGACTGTAAACGACGCGAAGAGGAAGCGAAGCTGCCCAAACTTCCACCGTTGAAATTCCGCGTCGGGTCGTCGACCTCGCCATCCTCCACTGCGCCAGAAGGAGATACCAAGATCAAGGTCCCAGATCCGGAACAAAGTCCCATATCGTCCATCAAAAACGCTCAGCATACCTTCCAGTTGCCTCTTACAGGGTCTCTTCAAAAGCAACCTCCTTCCATGCCTTCCGTTCCCTCACAAAACCCCCCTCAAGCCGTCTCCTTCCCTCCTTTGTCCCCCGAGCGCAGGCCTCAGTCCGCCCACACCACATCATTCAGCCCTCCTCGAGCCCCTTTCTCTCCATCAAAGGGCATGAATGGATTTACTCCGTCAACCAAGGAACAGGCTCCGAAATTGCCATCCATTCATCAAGCTATGCATTTACCGCCTCATTCTCGCGAGTCCTTCAACAGCGGGTCGTTTCCGGCGCGGCGACCGTCGTCCTCTCACTCTACGCAGAGTCCCACTCTGCCTTCGCCCATTCAAAACCGGCCGTCTATGTCCCCAACCCAGGGAAACCGAGATGTTGGTCCTCTTGCGGGGTTTCCGCCTGTAGCTCCAACAGATCACTCAGCCCCATGGACGCCATACGGTCAACACCAGACCCCTCGTCCAAACACGGGCAATCATTCTTCCTTCTCTTCCTTGCATAACGGGCGTCCATCTTTCATGGCCACCCCGACTGCAAGTCGCTCCTCTCCTCCCCAGAGTTCCCACGGCATGCCTCTTTCGGGTATCAGTCCGACCAAGCAATCACCCCGACCTATGACATCTGGCAGTGTCACTGGAGCTCCCGTCCTTCCTCCGATCCAGAAACTCGAGCCGAGTCCTAAATTGATGGGTCGTAGCTCGCCCGATGCACCCATTCCGCCGCCGGTCAAATGCATGACACCGGAGCAAGAGGAGCGCAGGCAAAGGGAAAACGCCATGCTGCAGGCCCAGTTGCACGGGACCAATGGCCCGCATTCAGTGATGTCGTCGCCGTCACTCAATCGTATACCACCTTTAGGGCCTCCTGCGGTTGCACAACAGCCTGCTCCATCTCCTCAGCCCGGTCCGAAGTAAAGTCTCCCGGCACTTTCTGCTTATGTGCACTAGCAGAGCAGCTGGACAACAAATCTTATACCCCTCTCGTTCCACATTGAAGCCGTACATTCACTCGTCATTATGTCCTTGGCTCGGTTATCGATCACTTAAAAGCTGAATCTTTTCATTGTGGTTCGGTAGGTTGATCTTGCAGCGCAGTAAAGCTTAAGCGGCCAATCCTTCTAGAGGCGCCAAGGCATGCGCGCAGGTCTTATGTACCTTTTTTTCCTTTCTTACCGTCTGTCCCCTCGCAGCGGTCAATACCGGGAAACCAGTTGGTGGTCCTGGGTTTTCCGTTGCTCTCTCTCCCTAAACTTCGCTCCCCCATACATTGCTTTTCGATTGCTTTTCGAAGTGCGCACTATATGGGAGTGTGCCGGTCTAGCATTCCGCACTGAGGATTTTGCTTTGTTCTTATGCTACCTATTTTGCATGGTTGATATGGTTGGTCTATGCTTCTCTCATGTCTTACTACAAACTTGATATATTGGAAGGGTGGCGTTGCAGGATACTGAGCTATAGAGGGATGGGGTTGGCTATGGATGTGAAGTAGACATTGACTAGATGTAATAAAAGCGAGGCACTTACATGATGCTTAGTTGGGACCGATCAATACCCGCTGTAGATGATTACCTGCATTATATGCTGTCGCTACCTATCCCAGCGTGACATGCACCTACTACTACTTTAGTCAACCACTGCTCGTCAACTGATATGAGAGGTACATACATACATACATACATAAGAAAAAACACAAGCAATACGCCGCACCCGCACAGCAAACAAGTCCCCCAAAACCAAGCAAACGCCATGCATGCATTCCCACAGCCTCATACCTCCCCTGGCGCCAACACGTCTAAGCAATCTAGTACATACTCCGTTGACCCGAAGTGGATCATCACGCATTAATTTAACTAACGAACTACTAGTTAGGCCCCAATGTATCTACTCCGTAGTAGTATAGTATGTAAGCAGTAAGCACCACCTAAGCACCGGTAATGTCTCAGATTCCGTCCCGCTCTCACCCGTGCGTGCGTGCGTGCATGCATACAATCTAGTAGTTACTTACGTACTAGAGCACATGTCATTTTCGGAGCTATCACCTGTCAAAAAACTTATTCTATCTATGTAATCAACGTTCTCTATACCAAAACTCAATCAATTGAGTTTTATTATTCCCGAGTGAGTGACAATATGAAACAAGGTTAATGTATATCATGGTAGGTAGTATCGTGGCGTAGCATTGGTTGCACGGCATGTGAGATTTGAGTAAGTAGTGTGGGTATGTATGTATTATTTAGGCAAATAGTAGTAAGTAGTAATTAAGTAGTAGTGATGAGTAAATTAAAAAGACGCAGGGTCACATTGGGGCTGTAGGGGGAAGGGCAAAGGCCGCGTGGTTTTAATTTGTTTAATTACGTTTAGGTTATTTATATCAACTACTGGGCTATGCTATGAGGCTGCTATCAGCGAACCGAACGGTTTATATCGTGGTAGTTAGTTAGTAGGTAGTACTAGGACTCGGGATGGAGTTGCTGCGGCAGATGGATGGATAAATGAGGATTGACTCGACTCGACTCGGGTTTTGGAGTCGGTTAATATTGGGGTGTTAGAATACGATGGATACTCTACTTAGTAGGGGTAAGTATATATTGTGGAGAAGGTAGTAGTGGGATGGCTGGCTGATCGGGTATGAACGGGGTGGTGGTTTTGGGTGGTGGTAGTAAGTAAGCAGTGGGATGTTGATTGATTGTCCATATTTGGGATGGAGGGAGTAGTAGTATGTGTGTGATATTTCTATAAAGTTGGTATATGCATGAATCTAACACGTCTCAAGATCTAGTTATCTTCCATGTCAAACACACCATTCAAGCATATACAGCATTCGAGTCAAGTAAGACACATACAACGATATTGTTGGGGAGGGATTTACCACACAATGGTACTCTGTCGGCTCACTTACCCTTGCTTGCCTTTAACCCTAGCTAGTTTAACTATCTAGCACGTAGTTCAAGAACTAATGACTTAGTTCTCACTTGCTAACCAGGATCCCAGTCCACTACAGTTAGATAAAATAGTATTGTTTAGGGAGTCCTTTCCCAACATCCCCTACCCATGCAGTAGTAGTAGTTCACCTAAAGTAAGTACCCTCCCTAATCTATCAGTAGTCTCCTGAAAACGTTCGCTAGACTAGTGAGGGAGTTAGCGAAAATCACCACCGAAAAGAAATGAAAAAGTTCTCGACCACGGCGGAATGAACCGATAAACTATACTAGACTAAGTAGTCTCCTTTTTGGATAGATCGTTCGATCAAAAATTGATTGATTGATAGCTTGGGCGAAGTGGACTGGACGGGACTGGATGGAATCACTTCAACTGGACTACTTACACTCACTTGGACTACTAGATGGATAACTTGGTTCCACTACCCGGAGATTGAACGAACATTGCTCAGTCAGCAAGCAACCTAACTAGTTACTTTGTAGTTAGTTAGCTTGATATCTCCGTCCTCCGACCGGATCCGGGCCCGTGTCCGGATAGTAGTGGGGGGAGATCGCTCGCTCGCACGGTCTAGACGGTGGCCTTGTCCGTGTCCTTTTCTCCGTGTGAGTGGGTTAAAATAATGGGTGAGGGTACCGTGGATTTGTGATGGTATGTTTGCGTGGTCTGAGAGCCGCATGCTTCCAGAAGAACATCCTTATCTTGGTGTTTTGGTGGTATGTAGCGGATCCAAAGGTATGCAGCGGACAGGCACCAAGTTATAATGAAATCAGCATTTTCTCGAGAAAAAGCAAAAGGGAGAGTATGCGGCTATACTGTGTGACTCAAAATGACTTGACTTGACTTGATTAGTCGAATCTCGCCCGAGTCCGAAATTTCTCCGCGCGCAGCGCAAATCTTTATAGATGCATCTCAGAAGCAAGCAAACGGTAGGAATGAACAAGAATTGCCTATGATGGTAGGTAGAGGAGGAGATCGGTGAACCGATTGACCGATGGTCATGACAATCTGCCCGTCAACCTTAGCCATACATACACGAACACGGATAGATCAACCGGTGTGGTTGTACCTCGAATGCCTCAAAATTGGAACTGTACACACATAAAATCGCATAACTGCTCATATAGATATGAGACCCAGTGTGTGATCATCGATGGAGAACAGCTAGTCATACTGAGTATGCTACCTGTATGGAAGGATTCCGACACCTTCAGGCCCAAACACTGGAACCCGAATTTTGCCGTCCACTCAAGGCGCATTGTCGGATGTGAGCGAAACCATAATTAGGATTCCTGGGCTGCGCAGGTGCGCCCTGCTACTCCACTGGAACCGTTCCGGCTGATCTTCTGGTTCGGAGATAGCAACTATACTCGGTTCAGCCTGGAAAGAGGTGCCGGTGCCGGTGCCCTGTTGCGTCCACAACTTACACACAGATGCCCGGGAATGGTTAGACTGATTCCACGACTAACTGTTGGCAACTCTGAATAAGGGCAAATAATAGTGACGGGAGTTTGTTACAAAGCGGGAAATGTTGTAAGCGGCAGGCCGTTGGGTGAGGTACCTCGCTTGTACTTTTGTCGGTGATTGTCCGTTTAAAATAGGTGGAAAGGGTACCTCCTGAGTACTCAGACTGTGTTAGTATATTATTCGTACCAGCAAACTGATCACTGTTAGGAGTATCGAAAAGAGGTTAGATGGGAGGGGCTGATAGGGCAATGTTAGGTTCGGGCGCCCATGTTGCAAACACATGTTGTATGCGAGATTCCAGATGTGTAGGTTGATCTCGGGCATGTTCATCTCTTTCTCCCCTCCCATACCTTATCTCCTCGATTGACTCCAGTGGCTTTTAGTTTGTTGGTTCCTGTTTTGGTAATTGGAGGCGATATGTGTCATGTCTCACCGACTGCATGACACGACGATCGCGTGGTGTAGGAATTCTCCAGTTGGAATTTTGTAAGGCTGAAATGACAGTCCGCCTATCTATGGAGTACATACTGCTGCTTAACTAGTCTACCTGTCAACTTGTTAGATCGCCGATACGGTGGCCATGACAAATTTGAGACGGCTGCCTGACAAGGCTGGCTTCATGCACATCGCATGGGAGGCTCATTGGATGATTTCCGACAATGTCTCAGATCAGATAGTTCGAACCGGCTAATATGCACGGCTGCCAGGCGTTGGAGATGTTGGAGCTGTGTTTCTGATTGGTATCAGAAACTACTACTAGTACGAGTAGTACTAACTTAGGCAGTTGCTTGTGTATGTTACTGGCATGGATCCTATTGGATTCCCGGATCTGTCTCGCGCCTTGATACTGAGCCGTAGCTATGCCTATCGGATCTGGGTTGAGAACTCTGTGGGAGAGTATTTCTCGTGTTGAACCTAGGTGGAATGCTGATACTACAAAGTAGGTTAGGAAGAGTATTCAATATCCCTTCTCCTGATAAACTCAATGACACATATTCGTCCTAAGCGCAGAGGGAGGCCATAGCTTACGTCGTAATATCCCCCTGAATGTGGATAGAAATGTTCTCTCTGTATGGAGCAAGTACCTAGTACTTGCTCCACAAGCCTAGGGTGACTTAGTTCTTGCGTACCAGCTACTTTGGAGTTACCAAACTCGGTTGGCTGGCGGGAGAAGCCTGAGGTGGCGTGACCAGCATTCACCTACCAAAAAGATCAGGCCAATGATGGATCGTCATGGTGTGATTAAATGACAGAAAATTGCTCGTGCTGCCCATCGAGCAATTACTCGATGAGAATTTAGTCGATGATTTTCTTCCCGTCAACCAATGGCGGGCATGTTGGAGGGCAGATCGGTCTGCTTCCCAGGGGCACAGCGGCGGGTGGTTCCCCGCTGGGGGCAGCGCGGAGGCTAAGCTACCGTAATTAGCGGGGGTGCCTATGGGTCCGTGGACGACGTCAGGAAGTTAGTGACTTGACTTGCTTTTTACTTACTTGCTTCGTACCACTGAAAGCGGCCCCGATACCACGCTAGTCCGGATGAGCTCGGTCTAGACTGGGCGCCCAGCAATGACCCTCTTCTCCAAATCCTTTCCCCCAAAAGCTATGCAATGGGCAGGCAGTGTTGTTGCGAGTTCTTGAGGGTCATCCATTCAACATGCTCTTGGCAGTCTGCTGTTAGTGTCACCTGAAAAATATCCCTCGTCAAGTTTTGCAGATCGTCGACATTGCGACATGTTTAATGAAGATTTTCCAAGTTCCTTGCCTACTCTGGTTTACTTGAAATTGGCATTTGCTTGTGCGTATTGTATCCTCCAGTCGAATCCCAACCTTAATTCCTTCGCCTGAATACTTGCATCTTCCATTGTGTCATGTCAAGGTTAGCTTTATAGCCGCGGTGCAGGTCAGCACTGTATCAATTCCTGCTTCTCATTGCGCTCCTCACGAATCCTATGCAGCATTTACCTTTGCTCACATGCACAGCTCCTAGCTACTTCGTCGTACGAGATTTCCCGTAGATTTCCCACCATCGACCAAGGAGACACAGTGTGTACAAAGTGTTGGACTGTGCGAAACCGAGCTATCGCCCCTAGAAGTGAGGGGGCAAAATAGGTGGGTATCGGGGCACCCTTTTGCTATGTAGAGTCCATAATAGTCAGGTCTTGGAAATCCCTTTTCCATCTGTGTAACCAACCAGACCGTGATCAGCTGGTGACGTTGACTCGACATTCACTTGTCCTGATGCAGACTTAGCAATTACTACCAAGAGAAACGCCGGTGGCTCAGGCGCTAGACTAGCTGAGTCCTGCTCACTTCGCGTACCCAATACCCAAACTGTCGGGTCCTTGAACGTGTCGATTATAGGGGCCAAAACTTGCCATTGCCACATCGTGCAGGGAGAAGTAAGCGAGTAACCAATGATTGCACATGCTTCTCCGTAGGCAATGGCAGGTCGGTCCGTTAGTGCGACCTAAGACGGGCGGCCTGTTACGACTCTGGTATCCTCTCTCCCTATAGGAATGCCTTCCAACCGAAATCATGGCCTGTCCGAAGTAAGCGCCAAATACGTAGGTTGTATGCATGGTGATTCAACGGTTGCTGTCGTGATTGACCGACGATCCCCATGTCTTGAGCCACGTTTTCTTCGCAGCCACTGCCTGCCATGCCTGCTATCTAGCGGTAAAGGCGTGTCTGGTAAAATCGGTGAGTAGAGGCCTCGCCAGCTCTTGCTTGATCACGAGGCAGATTGGCTGGGCTGGGGGTCAACCGGCTACGGCGCGCACTACTTCACGCGCTATCCAATTGCACCAGAGACACCGTCCCGACGTATGTACATACCTGCACCCCTCTGGTTCCACTCCGTGTCATATCAATCCCGTGACTGGAAGAAAGTTCGACGGCTGCTGCCCAGCGCTAATCCCTGCAGAAGGCGTGGCGCTACTGGCCTGTTTCCGAGCATCTTGGAGATATTCGTCAATCCCTCAATGTGGAAACGACATGTCCAGGATAGCCCCCGTGAGAACCTAAGGAACTCTCCCTGTCATTCTTCATATATCCGAGGCCTTGGCTCATTTCCCTCCTTTCCCCTGCAGATGCCACTGTGATATGAGGCAATATTAAACCCCAAAACTGAAAAAGCACGTTGGGCACAGTAGTGACTATCTGAAACAGTTATTCTTAAGGACGGGTGTTATTCTCAGCTACTACCTCTGTTTGGTTGGATACGCTCGAATCCCAAATGGACTGACTCGAAGAGGCGACGACTCATCAATGTAGGCAAATTCAATAGAGACAATGGTGCACTTGGCGTATCAGGAACTTCGCCAGTCAGCAGACCGTCCAAGTTCTTCGACACGCGTTAGATTTACTTCACCGAGTGGCTTGGAGAAGGATGAGTGCCGGACATGGAAAGGTGCGCTGCTTGGTGGGGGTTTACTGACCTTCCAGAAGGCCATCGAACGCTCGCAGATGATGTGGATGGTTGGGAAGGTCCATGGCGAGCCCGATCGGATCCCTGTGTCAATCCCTATCTGCAAGAGGAAACAGGAAGTCACCCAAGTGACGCCAACCATTCAATATGGGTAAATCCTCCGGAATCTCAATGATAATGTCTGGGGACAGCCTCTGGGCGCAAGCCACCTCAGCTGTATAACCCTTCCTCCAGATGCGGTGCCAAGCAGTTACAGAAGGTTACCCATGTTACTCGTTCCATACTTGCGCTCGAGGGGAAGCGGAAGGGGGTTGTCAGAAGGCCTACACGAAGTGGCCGTCCATGCGACCCATGGGACCAATGACGAACTCCATACGATCATCCACCTCCAGAAGGAAGTGGCCGCTCAGACCCCTCTCTAGAACAAGGAACGAAGGAAATGGTTTCCACTAAGGTTTCTTCTTCAGCAACGTTCCTGCGCCCGAGAATAGTCAGAAAAAACCGAGGAAGTCCGGACAAAGAATGCTCACACCGGGCAACTCTGGTTCCTGCGCAAGCCATCGGTGTGTGCCTTCGCGGGTCCATCAGAACCTTGAAACCCACTTTGGCAGCCGCAGATCATACTAGCTCTCTCGGAGGCCGTCAGATCATCCCTTCAGCTGGAACGGGAGGATCTTATGGCAAGTGAGGGTGGGAAGGGAAGAAGGGGGGGATCGATTGGGGAAGGAGAATCGTGAGAAGTGGATCAGCCGTCAGTGGAGGTAGGCGATCTGTGGGTTCTTTGCAATCTCATCCAGTCCAACCGGCTCGCCAGAGTAGGTGAGTTTTGTGTGGCTGTTGTTGTTTTGATACTCCATGTAGCTGCCGCACACTACACTGGCTCCGCTGCACGTCCTATGCCAATCAGTGGTTGTCAACGGGCCGTGTACAATGTTGGTATACTACAACTATCCAAATTGCAGCTGAAACGCCGTTTCCGCAGTGGCATAATGCAGAACAGGACGGAACTACATATTGCAAAGGCAGTGTGCTTGAGAGGAATATATGACATGACAATCCCCGAATCCTTCCAACGATGGCTGGGCTAACACACGTGACCGTAGAAGACCCAACCATCAGGATGGCCCATTCCCAAACAAGGGGGTAAGCAGAACGCCGGAAATAAACATGCGCCGATCAATCCCATTTGAGCCAGCCAAGCTAAGATGTAATTTATCATACATCAGCGTATACTGCATGCAGACCCCCTGTCATAATTGGCATTAACAAGCTAACGACATGCAGGGAAACTACGCGATACTTACGTAGCTTTGATACGGCCTACTTACTACAACTAACTAGTTAACCCATAAGTAACTAACTTACTCATCTGAATTACTTGGCTCAGCAGGAATCATGTCTATGCCCTTCCGTTCGCATAGAAGATAGCGCAGGTACAGAGTCAGTTCTGCCTGTTTCAAGCATCGCATTCCCCACCTCGACCCCACTAGATCCAATTCTCCTTCCGCGGCGAGCCCCGTGTCAACCTACTACTACACAGGAGACAGTACTAGCTGGAAATCGCAGTATTAGGCAGGACCCCTACCGGCGGCCTCGCCGGCACGATCCCGCCAGCTTAAACTACCCAAGTGGGCTAGTCTTTTCAATACATGACGCTAGCGCTGCTCACTGATCTGCTGGAGCCAGTCGTAGCTTGCCGGCTACTTCAACCCGACCAATGGATAAGCCAATAGTAATCGTGTGGCGTATTTTTGGGTCCATGGTCTCAAATACTACGAGATGCTCGCGGCATGCTCTTTTGAGTTAGTCTGGTTTGGAGGGGAGAAAGAAGAGAGGGGTGGATTTCCTTCTCTGAAGGGACGTCGGGCAACCGACTCCCCGCGCAAACCTAATTTCTAGAGGACGTGATTGCGGTCGCTCAGAAGAATATAGGACTAGAATGGCATAACAAATTCTTCGCTATTCATCTTCACGGCTATGCACCCTTTCCAAGGGGCAAAGGAAATTTCACAAATTGTATACGGAGTGCCCTGCGCCCTTCTGGTTGGGTTGTTGGTCTTGGCCCAACTACAAACATGGACCTGCTCGCATCCGAACCAACATACAGATCGGTATCCACTGGTTCGACACATGACAGATGTCTCTCACGCAGCATCTTCCAGTGGGCTACCTCAGACTTACCAAGAGGCGGGCTTGTAGCCCAACCCTCACCTAATGCGCGCTTGCCTTTGAATTCTCCGTCTCTCAACGTAGTCTGGCCGCTTTCGCTAAGGGACAAGCAAGAAAAGGCACGAACGATCGACCGGCTTGATTGTGGGGTATCGCAATAGTATGCTCATGATTTGCGCTAGCTACCTACCATTTTCAGATACATACATACGTGCGCTTCATGTCTTCGCCTGGATGACCTAGGGGCGAGTCGCAAGCTCCGCTCGGCGATGTGCGGATGCGGAGAAAGCAGAGTCTAGATACACGTATGTGGACGTCCCAGGAGCTGGAGAATACCGATCCATGGAACCTTTTCCTCTTCTTCGGAGCCGAAGTATGTAGACGGGGTATTGACGCTGATGATGATAATAGTGGTGTATGTCGATTTCTCGGGCAACAGATTGCTTGCTACTGGCTAGAACTGACTCGTTCGGGTTCAACCAAGCCTAGCCTCGAATTACTCTTGCCTGTCTTCATGGCTGAAGACTGACGAATTCTAATATATTGAAATCCGGTTGGTCAATGTCGATGTCTGCAAGATATCTACACTTCAGAGTAGTAGTTCGAGACTGCTCGGATGAGGAGACCCGGTATCCGGGGAGTTAAAACATGGAGTTAAGCTCGGATACCTCTTGTATCCGGCGGTCTCAATTTGTTTTCATGAGAGCCGGTAATCTCAATAATCGCTTGGTAGCATCTTGTTTGCCTCTTTTTTTCCCTTTTCAGATTTTTTCGTATCTTTCACCGTTAGCCTTGTGCTTCCCCGATTTACACTTCCTACCTTGATACTTTTTTTCTCTCTCTGGCCGCTTTAGTTGCTCCTCCGGGTCTGTAGAAGAATAGAATGAACATATCCGTCTCCTACAATTCATGAGGGGCCTCTTAATGTCTAGACTTTTTACTTGGTGTGAATACACACACAGTGCACGCTATCACATCCAAAGCATGAGGCTAATTCCGACCAGTGTCACTGCCTGCTTTAGTACCGGTCCCCGGATAGATTGTAGATCGCACTAATAACTTAATAGGCAAAGAGTGGGACGAATGCCTGAACGTTAGACTGCCAGTTCCCCCCCTCGTTATTATAATTATTATTTATCCATTCTAAGTACTTTTCTCACTTTATTTTTTTTCTCCCTCATATTAATTTAATCTTTATTCCTTTTATTATCTAATTTGGCTGTTAAATTTGGTTCCCCACTCACTGAAATTCAGAATTCAATAATAATTCCCTTATTATGAGGTATGGGTTTGCTCCACGATCCAGATTCACTAGGGACCAATGTCCTCTACGTAATGTGAATACCGATCATACCCAAGCTATTATTCTCTCTTTTTTTTTATTTTCATTTCCCGCCATCCCTTCCAGTGACTGAGGGGATGGCTCAGCAAATGCCGCGCCATAATATTCAGTGACATGATAAGAGAGGTAAACCCAATCCGTGCCTGGGTAGATGCATGTCCGCATTTAGTAACCACCCTGAAGTCAGGCTCTGAACAGCCTCAAACCCGCTGGTTCATCCCCCTCCCCTCTCTTTCCCCTCTCCTGTTTTCTTCTGGAAGACTAGAAGAGGAACCTAGATTTGGCACAAAGAGAAATCTAGAAGCAAACGCCGTAGAAGAATGAACAGGGGAAAAGAAGAAAGAGTGGGAGGATCCGAAAATAAACGTATGGGTGCCCCAGGAGCAGAAGTGTAGCAGACAAGCGAAGGAGATATTAAAATAAAATGGAAATCAAATCACATCAATCGAGCGGATGGGATACCAAAGGGAATGCATCCATGTCTGGCTCCGGTCCCAAGACAGCGGAACAAAGACAACGCCATCCAGCAACCCCGTGCCAACATCGAGGAAATTCACCACCGCCGGCCAGCAAGAGGGCAGCCCGTCAAGGGTTTCAGCCGCTGGGGATTCCATGGTTGTCATCCCCATCTAGAACTTCGTGCTGCAGTATCCCATCCCGCCTTAAACTGCTTGATATCCGCCCGAATTCCACCACTGTTTTTCCCTTGTCCCTATTTCCTTTCTCCCTTTCACACCTCGTGAACAACAACAATAACAACAGGTGTTCATCATCATCAAGCTTCTCTCAATTGTGCTTACTCGCATCTACACACTTCCTCCCCATCTCCATCATCTTACCCCTTCCTTCGGGGCTCCACCTCCTCCCCTCTTCTCTCTCTTCTGCTTGTTGTCGTGGTTGTTGTGGGCCTCTACTTGTTTGTTCCTCTCAGGCTTCACTTCACCGTTCTTTCTTCCACCTCCCTGTTCTTATTCTTTCACTCTTCTTATTCTGTTGAGTGTTTTATTGTCGCCCTTTTGGCAACAATCTCTACCGTCACTTCTCCCCTGTTCTTTCGTTTCGAATTGCTAGCTACCCCCGGCGTATATCCTGTCTTTTTCTTTTCCCCTCAATTTCTTCCGCACATACTTGCCCGGTTGTTGTAACCTTTCGTTGAATCGCAACCCTCTGGAAAGCCTTCAAATGCATAGCTTCCCTGCTGTGGACAATTCCTTAACTGCTATTACCACTATTCCGGGTTATTGGCTCGCCTAGGCGTGCACGATATCCACTCACTGATCCCCGCAACTTTTCTGGCTCAGCCCAGCCGTCGCATACTTCTGCCTATTCATTCCTACACCCAGAAATTGGAGGTCTCGCTGCCCCTACCTTTGAAACTCCATTTCTAGCTTTCTCTTTGATTCACAACCTCTTGATCTCTCCTTGTCATCTTCTATTGTATTCACTCCGTCTTGCTCTTTCTCGCACCATGGCAACTGTCGCTACGGCGAGAATGATTCGCGGTCAACCGCCTTCCCCGCCTCATTCCACTGATGGAGACCCTGCACCAGAAGTTCACCAAACCTCCTGTGGCACGCTCCAGCAAGCTTATGGACATCACGACCCTTATGGTTCTATGTTACATGGAAATCGTGCGTCTGGTGATATGTACGAACACAGACCACACTCTCTGGTAAGCAGACGCAACTTGCTCGATCTCATATGATAATGGCTAATCGTGTTTCAGGAGTACACTCCTCCTTCATCGCAGTACGTCTCTTCCGGGGACTATCCTCGATCACTGTCAATGCAAGCCCCGGTAAGTTTGCCAATACTGGACTTTCCAGGTCTCTGAGGTGAGCTGTAGTACTGATTAGGTCTTAGATGGCAACAAATGGCCTTCAGGTTAACACGCCTCCCCCTGCTGCAGACGAGGGCCTAGTTTCTGAATCGGTACCACGATGGAGCTCGCCGCCGTCCCAGAGACAGGTGACGAGGGCAAGGGTGGCCAGGTCACCTAGAGTGCGTCGCAGGAATAGAAATAGAAAGGACACAAGAGTCGAGCTCGAAGGCCCTCTGAGTGAAGTGACCAAGCATTTGACAAACATCCCTATTCGAGACATGGAACGCTGGGTGAATCGGTCAATAGAGGTTCGTCACCAAGAGGTAGCCAAGAGGAACGGAAAGGTTGCCAGGCCCATGAATTCTTTCATGCTTTATCGATCGGCATATGCGGACCGGACAAAGCAATGGTTTGCGCAGAACAATCATCAAGTGGTTTCCGAAGCAGCGGGTGACAGCTGGAGGCTTGAATCCCCAGAAATCCGTCAGAAGTACGAGCTTCTAGCCAATATCGAGAAGAGTAACCACCTCAAGGCTCATCCTGGTTACAAGTTCTCGCCGTCGAAAGATAAGAAGAAACGAGCTGGGAGCGAAGATGAGCGTCCCCTGGCCAGCACCCCTGGATCCACTTCAGCTTTTATTCAAAACCGTGCCGCGAGCTCTTCAGAAATTGATAGTAGTGGCTGGGAAAGTCGGGACTCGACCCCGTTTGACTTTGCTGACCATGGTTTACATCTACCTGGGGATACCTACCTATCTTCATCTGCCTGGCATGCAGCCAACCATGGGCGGCCGCACCCTGGCATGATTCCCTCCTCTGAGCCGTCTCACTACCTCCACCAGACAATTCATGCAGGGCTTATCCCTCACGTAGAGGATGTCCGATTCAAGAAGACTGGCTTGCATGGGATTCAATATGCTACGTCCTCATCCACTCCACTGGCTGCTCTACCCGGCGCCACACATCATGACCTTCTTCAACCGTCCACCTCGTTGCCCGGTGATGGACAACTGGATCCCCAGCTCCTGACCCTGCAGACCGAGCTCCAGAGCCCGAACCAGCTCTTTGGCAGCTCTCACAATATGTGGCAAGACTCTTCCAATGTCAACTGCTACACCTCTCCCTCGTCTTCCTTGGCACCTTATTCAATCCCTTATACCGCGACGACCTACTCACAGGGAATACACACCCTAGAAACCGACCCTGCTCTTGATGGTACCGGTGGCGATTTTGACACCTGGATCAACCAGCAGGGCACGACATACTAATCCTCATCTCGAACACAGTAATCATGGAACGTTCAGAATACCCTCCTCCACCAGTTTATCTGCTATCACATACAAGTCTATCTAATCTTTTCTTTCTTTTCTTGTTATATTCATCTTCTTTTTTGACCTGGGATGGACGTCTACTCTTTTTGTTTCTTACCCCTCGGAGCGGAGTTATTGTTCAAGGCGTAGGTATTTTTATTAAATGTGGCCCGGCGCTCTGTTGTCGGGGTTATCGGTCCTAAGCTCGTTCACGTTCGCTGCTTATCTGGGTTCTAACTTTCGGTTCTTTCTTTTTGGTCATGGGGCATGCTTTAGGAATGGATATTGATATGGATATGGAAATGTGCTTTGTGGGAGGCAGTTTTGTCGGCACTCTTGTGCATATCTCATGGTTGTTACGGGATTTGATGCATTAGATCAATTGGGCATTGCATGATAACAGGAGGATACCACCACTTTTCAATCGAACTGTTGTTTTTCTTTTATTTCCCATCATGTGTTGAAAATATGAGGCTTTCTCAGTATGCTGGACTCTATCTGGGCTCTACGGCATGCATTGGACCTTCTGATATTTCTCGTAAGAAATGAACATATCTGAAACATCACGGTGTGTTATTAGTCTATGAATAGCATTTACATTGTCTCTTGAATAGTGGCTATTGAAAGGAATATCCTGATTCATCTTTATACTAATGACTATCTCAGTGAATATGCAGATTCTAAACACGCCATTCTATTGCTTACTCTCCTCTACAATGAGTGTGTTACCACACACAACCCTGATCCTACACTCCACACCCACTAAGCAATTGTTCCAAGACACTTATTCACCCTTCTATTCTTATACCTAATGAGTCTTTCTTTCAATATATCCCCATTCAAGCCCCTCGTTTCATCCTCCCCCAGCTATTTACTATATCTGTATTTCTTTGTTCTTTGGCCATTCAACAACCACAATCTAAAATAGGACCTCAAAGCGAGGACCATTGAATTCTCTCTTTTGACGTCGGTTGTCTTAGTTATCTTGTTCCTGTTAGTTGTTGAATAGGTCAATGGGGGCTGTGTAACAATTTCAGAATATCTCCTGGACCCACTTTTTCTATCTATTTAACTCGTCGATTGTTCTATGGTGAATCTTCATGATGGTCTTACAGTGTTTATTTAGTATGTAGTTAGAGAGTCTTGTTATTGTCTCATTCTGTTGTTCACTTATCTTCTGAAACATGGTCTACGATTGAATACAATTTTTTTTGAGGATATGGATGTAGCTTCGCTTCATCGGCCTGGGGGATGTTGGTTAGTAGCTCTTAAGGACTTCAGTATATAGGAGGAGAATATAGGTATTCAATGCTGAGATTTATGCCGTAAATGCAGATGTACATGGGGATGAGAGCTTTGAGGTCTTAGCACTGCATTTCGGAATGTATACTGGTTGCTTGGATATTGAGTACGCATTCCCTCTATGGACCACGCATTCCCTCTATGGACCGAACAACCGTATATATGCCCTGGCATACGAGTGGGGCTCTTCGTGAAGGTGCGTCTCTGTTAGTCGGAGCTGATTGTTTTATTTCTGAGAGGAGTTAGGTGACAGCAGGTGTTTGGGCCCTTGATGGTCGGTGGATGCCTAGTGACGCTTGAAGTTTGAAAACTGGTATCAGGCGTTTATTTTATCCTAGCGAATAGACTGCCATTCATATCGACACCAGTATCGTAAAGTAGCGGATGGGGTTAGTGGAGCACCCCTGGCTGGTTAAGAGGCTGCAAAACAAACCGCCTATATCATTCAGCATCTACCAAAACTCACTCATCCAAATCGCGAAAGCACCTACAATTCCGATCATAAAACGGAAGCGGCAGGACTCTCTCCCTCTTAAGCTTCTTCCGCAGGGCTCTTATCCACAGATTTACATACTGCTGTTCCAAGTTATCCCAAATCGGCTGGATGACCGCTTCCAGTCTGCCAATCTGCATTTTACCCCGCTGGACAACATACCAGCGAATAGAAGATAGCATGCGATACCAAACATCATCACAATGGCTATTATAGCCCTCATCTCGACAGCGTAAGAGGATAAGAGCGTGAATGGCCATAGTGAGATTCGGAATTTTGATTTTATATCTTTCCAGCTCGTATGGGTCTCTATATGCTCTTTCATTGAGCTCGACATATAGCATCAACCTCTCGTCGTGCAGTGGCTCAATCTGAGTAGGGAGGCGTTCGTCCCTGGTTGACATGTAGTATTTGTCGTGTCGGGACGGTTCGTTCAAAGTGGGTTCCAGGAATGAGAAGAGGGTTTCTGCGTGTCCGTATAGTTTTAGGTAGTATGTATGCGCGGGAACAATCCAGTAGCTGGCGATATGGAAGTGTCTTGCTGGTATCATGCCGTCTTCGGGACATTGGAAGCGCGAGCAAGCTTCGACGTCGCTCTCGGGACAGGTTGTGAATCCTGCTGCTTGTAGGGTTCGATATGCAGCGTCGAGCAGTCTGTTTGGGATGATGAAAGATATGTCGTGGGGCTGGAGATTGTTAGTGATCATTGAGCCCGTGGATGTAGGTGCGATGGAAATCTTACCTCTTGTGTAAAGGCACCATAGGCAGATAGCATGTACTCGTTCCAGAGGACATTAGGGATTTTTGCATGATCCAGAAGACGCGCGATAATGGCGCATAGTTCTCGGCCGTAACAGCGCATGTTTGTGATTAGGCTGAGTACCCGTTGTTACATTTTCTGGGGTATGGAAGGGCCTCCTTTTCTACTGATATCTCTGGGAAGATTCGAGGTTTTCTAAGCTTCCCTACATCGAAATCTGTCCGGACAGCAATGGAGGTTGTTTCCGGCATAATACTATCTGTATTATCCCTTTGAGGATCCTTGGACTCTGATTTGCGCTACTGCTTCTCTCCTTTCATGAGATTTCAGGCACATTGTGCGACAGACAAAGCCATTGATGCTGTAGATGCCTACAGTGGCATTATTTTTGGGTATTTGAGCGAATCTTTCTCGGACATAATCTTCTTTTTCATGTGCATCTTCCGGGCCGCTATACTGGCTCCAGAGGACTTAGCAGGAAATAGCTTTCTGAACAGCTCCTCAGAGAATGTAACTCGGAGATTCTTCTCAACGGTGGAGGGCTTTCTCGTTCTGTTAGCTCAAATTCATATAGTCATCCATCCTCACTCATGTCTACTCATATCTCACAAAGTCATTGGGTGATTTGAAGAATATAATGATTCCATCGGTACTACTAAAATGTAGGCTGGATCGGTCGGGTGGAAATTAATTTGCATTGGATGCGCCTTAGTTATTTGTTTTGGGGTAGGGAGGGGATCGAAGATATAATAAGTATAATTCATTTTATAAATTCACGCCTCGGCTTCTTCCATATATCAACAACCTGGAAAATGACTAATGGAAAGATGCTACCAAGGGAACTTCCACTGGCTCACAACCCTTAGCATCAGCTGCTCAGGGCACATGTTCAAACATCTTCGCTGATGTCAAGTTTGGGTTCTATATCTCACGTTGGAAGGCGGCTTGGCAGGAACGCGAGCCGTCCGTCACGTGTAGATCTTCGATCGGGCGCGGCCTAGCGATCCGCGCGACGCTTTCCTGGCAGATTGACCTCAGACCTTAAGGATACATTGATTAGCAACTTTTCGACCCTATGCGCTTATAGTGTGCATTCAATCTTTGTGGGGTCTAGATAATTCCCATTACAACTCTCATATACTGCCAACGGCGCATGTGCATCCCCCGAAAGTCGGAACATTCCTCTGAAGTCATATCCATTCGCCATGTACGGCGAACACGGAAATAAGCTTGTATGTGCTCCTCTTTCAAGCCAGGCTCCATGAATAGCTCGTCCTAACGAAAGAAACCCACAAATAGGTGCAACATGCCAAGCGCACTCAAGCTCTCACCCATCTCCCTCCCTACCAAACCGAACTGGTCCGTTCCGTAGCCCGCGAAGTACGCGACCTCGACCGTGATGTCGCACACCTCCTCGGGCCTTTCGAAGGCAGTTTCAATCCGTCACAAGAACCAGCCGTCGCCTGTGCCCTTCTAGTGGATCACCTCTGTATGCGCCGCAACAAACGATGTCTACTTGCCTACCACCGTGTTCGCGCCGAGAAGCTCGAGGAGCTATGTTGGAATGGCGTCGATTTGCTCGAACAGCAGCTACCGACTGCAGACGAAGGGGCTGCAGGTGCATCTGGCCAGGGGAGCGGGGGTTATGCAGCGATGAGCACTGCGAGTGGGAACCACAGTTCGTTGAGCCCGGAAGAAGAAGAGTACTTCCGGCAATATAGCGATCTCCTGGCGGCGTATAAGGGACAATGGACGGATATTGATCTTACGGGAAGCCTGGAGCCCCCGAAGGATCTCTTCATAGACGTGAGGGTCTTGAAGGATGCGGGGGAGATTCAGACTGAGTATGGGTATGTGAGGCATTTGATTCTGCTTTTTTTTCCCCTCGCGCGTATTGTTGATCGGCGGGTCGGAATGCTGACATTGCATATAGGGTGATCAATTTGACGAAAAACAGCCAACTCTACGTGCGGCAAGGGGATGTGGAACGGTTAATCGCGCAGGGGTTTTTGGAGCGTCTGAGTTGATGGGGGGTGATGAGTTTCAGATTATGCAATTTATGTCTTATGATACCCAATGAATGATGCCTCAAGAACGGAGTATAGTACAGGACGGTCTAGCCAGGATATGCTGTGTAGCGTTGTTTTGAATAATCCCAATTTTTCGGATTTGTGTCTAAGAATCGGACCGTAGCTGCATACGTGTGCGCCATTAGCACAAGCTATTATCAGAGGGATTACGTAGAGTAATTTATATATCACAAAATAGGTCTATCTAGACTTTCTAGCCTCGCAGTAGCTGCAGCACCGTTGACGGCGGCGGTGGTGCTTACCTAATTGTGTTTGCAGCAGAGGGAAGCATCGGGGCCTATCATCGGCCTCGTGCATCCAAGCTCCTTTGCTCTCTGCAGCAAAGTTGTGCCACTAGCGACAAACTTCCCCTCTCAGAGGTACCGGCTCGCCGACTAACCCAGAGTCAATTCGTGTCAGTCCGCTAGCGACTGCTTCTAATCCTCTAAGGTCCTTCGGTTGACATCGGGCCCGTCAGAATGGTGGACCGGCGACAGTAGTGTCTTGTCGGTGATAAGGCTTTTTTAGTCACCTCCGCCCGCGAGCTTTGATAACGATCCTGGGAGCCATGTCTGGGCCTCATTGAGTCCCTTCCGGACCCTTCTGGCCTCCATCTTCGGGTGTCTGCATTTCTCCTTCTTTCTAACATCTGACTTTTATCTTCTTCCCCTCACCCAGTTCCCCAATCGCAGAGCAATGCCAACAGCTGCTGTGCCGATTAAATTCTTGCGTCATCTGCTATCATCTACCCCCCTCCTCACGCCTTTTTCGTCGCCAAACAATCACAAGCTTCACAGCCTGCGGGCTTAACTTTCCCCCTCCCCGGTGGTGATCAGGGAATATACTGTGGCAGACTGTGTGAGGCGATCGCTCATCACAGTCTTCCTTCCGTTTGCGGTCAACGATGGGTGTCTTCCGCTCCCGAGACAGCAGCGACTTTCGCATATCCGGGGTATCCCCTCATCGCTCTCCCTTGGAGGACGACCTAGACTCGAACAGAACAGAGATCCCGGTTGAACATGCCAATCATGGTAGCCCGCCCCGGTCCTCAGGCCTAGATTCACTGGTATCTGGCGGTACCAGCTTCCGAACCCCAAGTCGGTCTTTTTTCCACCGATCATTCCATACTCCAGCAGGTACGCAGCTACAGAGACCTCCCAGACTTTCGTTTCGTGAGGAGAGTTTGTCATCACTTAATGTATCCAGATCTGACCTTTACATTTTAGACACGGCGCACTATTCAACCCATGGCCTCAGGGAGCAGACAGCCGAACTGGCTTCCTTTGCATTGTCGCATGAATCGAATACTCTTCCTCCTTCCTTGGATATCTTTCAATCCTCCCAAAGCCCGAACCGCCCATCTTCTCCGTCTATCAGTTTCGCAGCGCAAGGAAGGACAAATATAGAACCCGGTCCTTCCTCCGTCCCCACCACTGGTTCGTCGGTCCTGACACAGCTAATGCGCAAACCCGACGCCCCCGAAGCTGATCGAGACAACCGGGACAGAGCCTCCGACTGGGATGAGTTTAGCGAGAGTGCAGTGTCTGAGGATCATACCCTAGGAGTTGCGGCGGGGGGTGCGCCTGCTACTGAGCAGACCTCCTTGTTGCCTAAAAAAACACAAGCAGGACCCTTTCAGAGCTATGGAGGGACTGGCGACGTCGAAAGTCAAGGCATTTCCGGGAATACTAAATCAGACGCGTTTCCTGGAGCTGTTCACAAGCTTAGGATGTGTTTCTGTACGCTATCGAACCCGAAGTCGTGGGACGGACAGGCTGTATGGCGAGATGGGATTGTCTATCCGCTCAGCTTTTTGCCGTCGGTATTCCTTGGCCTTCTGCTCAATATCCTTGACGCTCTTTCATACGGCATGATCCTATTCCCGCTGAGCGAGCCGGTCTTTGCTGATCTGGGCTCGGACGGTATCTCAATGTTCTATGTTAGTACCATCATTTCACAGTTGGTCTTCTCTTGTGGAGGCTCCATTTTCAAAGGAGGTATTGGGAGTGAGATGATCGAGGTTGTCCCGTTCTTTCACCAAATGGCCTTCACCATTCTCAATCGGGTTGGTCAAGACAACCCGCAAGCTGTGTTGGCCACGACTATTCTCTCCTTCTCGGTCAGCTCGGTTCTTACAGGCTTGGTGTTCTTCTTGATGGGAACCTGTAAGCTCGGTGCTCTGATTGGTTTCTTCCCACGTCACATTTTGATTGGATGCATCGGTGGGGTGGGATTCTTCCTGTTGCTCACGGGTGTTGAAGTGTCTGCTCGATTACCAGGCCCCTTCGATTTCACCTTGGGAACATTCGAAAAGCTTATGCAGCTAGACACGATATTTCTCTGGACGACCCCATTGTTACTTGCTGTTGGCCTTCTGGTTTTGAAGCGTTTCTTGCGTTCCAATTTCTTGGTTGGTGGATATTTCATCGGTGTGGCAATTGTATTCTATATTGTGAAATTCAGTGCCAGAGTACCTATGCATTCATTGCGCGACAAAGGGTGGGTGTTCGATGCTCCATCTTCGTCAAATCCGTGGTACCACTTTTATACTCTCTATGGTGAGTGATCACTATGTCTTCGCGGGTGTGCGTCATACTAACTGCTCTAGACTTCTCTGCTGTTGATTGGTCTGCATTTCTTGACACGATCCCTGCCATGTTTGCACTCACATTCTTCGGAGTACTTCACGTTCCTATCAATGTTCCAGCTTTAGGGATCTCTACCGGCGAAGATAATCTCAATGTCGACCGTGAACTCATTGCTCACGGTGTCACCAATGCCTTGTCTGGCTTTGCTGGAAGTATTCAGGTGAGTGTGTTCTAACTTCCAGTGAGTCAAATGCTGACTTATTCCAGAACTACCTTGTATATACAAACAGTCTTTTGTTCATTGACAGCGGCGGCAACTCTCGTGTGGCAGGAGTCATGCTTGCAGCTGCTACTGCGGGGATCATGGTTATCGGTCCAGTTATTGTCGGATTCATCCCGGTAATGGTTGTAGGAGCGCTCATATTCCTGTTGGGCATCGAACTGATGCAGGAGGCTTTGGTTGATACATGGGGCAAATTGCATCGACACGAATACCTGACGGTAAGCTTTGTCCCAATGGTTCTGACGAGCCTTTCGGCTAACTCTGCAGGTTGTGATCATCGTTGCGACTATGGGTGCTTGGGACTTTGTGGTGGGGATCTTTGTGGGTATCATACTTGCGTGTCTAAGCTTCGTCGTCCAAACTTCACGCAAATCCGCCATCCGGGCCACCTTTTCTGGCAGATTTACCGGTTCAACAGTCAGGCGACCGCCCATTCAGCAAAGCTTCCTGAAGGAAGCAGGACAGCAGTCACTCATCATCAAGCTTGGTGGATATCTGTTCTTTGGGACTATCGTGAGTGTGGAAAACACCATGAGGGGACTTATTGAGGAGGAAGCATTCAACAAACGCCCTATCCGCTTTCTGATTCTGGACTTCTCCCGCGTCTATGGCATCGACTTCTCCGCAGCAGAAGCATTCACTCGCATCAATCGGATTCTGAGAAAACGAAATGTGCAGATGACGATTTCGGGCCTCGATGTAGGAGGAGACGTCGGAAAAAGCCTCCAGAACGTGGGGCTATTCGAACCCGTAAATGGAGTTGAGATCTTTGAAGATCTAAATTCAGCGCTCGAGTTCTGTGAGAATGACTACCTGAAGGTCTTCTATAGCCACAGGGAAGCCTTGTTAAACGGCAAGAACAAGTCGTCAGCCTTCCTCGAAGTTCCTACGCCTCAAGGTCAGTCTCATCTTGGCGATGCGGTGGTGAGTTCACCTCGTCAGCAATACTTGCAGCAAGCCGCTAGAACGACTCTCCATGAGAACGAAATGGCGGTTGTCCAACCAGCTGCATGGTCCGCAATGCGTCAACCCCTGCCGCTCCTTCTTCAGACATTCCAGGGCTTGACGTCTCGCAACGAAGATTTTTGGTTCAAGGCTTGCACGTATTTTGTCCGCGAGAGCTACGCAGCTGGCACCGTGCTGTATCACGAAGGTGACGTACCGAAAGGCTTCTATCTACTGGAGTCGGGGATGTTACGTGCAGAGTATGAGCTGCCTCAGGGACGGTACTTTGAGATCATCGTAGCTGGACGGCCATGTGGCGAGCTACCATTCTTCAGCGAAACGCGGCGGACCGCAACAGTCAAGGCCGAACAGGACTGTGTGAGCTGGTGCTTGACTGCGGAGAAATGGCAAAACATGCGCGAGCGTGAGCCAGAGATTGCGCGAGAGCTGCTAACCGTTAGTCTCAAGCTGACGACGGAGCGCATGGACAGTATTACTTCGTAAGTGACGCCAACTTTACTGCAAACGATCTGTACTGACCTATCTCAGATATGTTCTCACGACGGCAGCTTGATCAATCATGCCGTCCTGTATTTTGGCAACCCACACATAATCTGTATCGCATCTTGGGGTGGACATTTGTTGCATATGTAATGACCTAATGTGGAATGCATTTGAATATTATTCTTTATTACATATTCAGAAATGAGGGTGTAGTATACGACCACCACTAGAAGGGTAGGCGCTCACGCAACCATCAAGATCCACAAGAAGGATCCGTCACCAGCCGACAAGCACAGCGCATGACCGCCGACGAGGAATGAACCGAACCACTAGCAAAATCGAACCATACCCAATGTCCTCGGGTCCGACAACACCAACCACTAGCCTGTAAGCACCCTCAAGTGGCACGGAGTACATGGAAAGCATCCCGCCCACCAATAGGAAAAATTAATTGCATTTGCATACAATGATCGATCGAACAATGGCGTGACAAGCACGAGTCGATCAGTCCGTCAGTCAGGCGACCCTGCCCTGTCCGGCCCCTCCACTCAATCACTCACACCCCATCAACCACAGCTGAAAACCAACAATCATCACAAACCAACCACTGCACTCGTAGTTATTATCCTAATTAGCTTGGCAAATACTTAATACTGTCGAGTGATCACCGGCAAGTACTTCCGACATCCATCTCTCTCCAGCTCTGTGTCTCTTTCTTCTATGTAGTATAACTTACACCGAGGAAAATCACCCGGTGAATGG